CGTTAGGAAACAAGACTTCAAGACCACGGCCACACAGCCCGGAAGACCCACAACAGCCCTCGTATGCCGGCCGTGAAAGCCTTCGACAATACCTGAAATGCATTTGGATGGAGCTCATTGACAATTAAAAATGTGTGTAATATGTTTAAAACATTTGCCAGTTACACGTGTGTATGTGTGTGTGTGTATAAAAATAATTGTGCCTTCCTCAATCTCGGGTCCTCTACCAGAGGCCTGGGAGTTTGAGGGTAGATCTGCGCAGATCTACTACTGCGCAGTATCTTAGCTATTCCTAGCACTGCACTGTTCTGGACAGAGAGCTCTGACATTGTTCCTGGGATCTGTTGGAGCCACTCTCCCAGTTTAGGAGTTGCAGCCCTGAGTACTTCTACCACAACTGGGATCACGTTGGCCTTTACTTTCCACATCCTCTCTAGTTTCTCCTTTAGGCCCTGGTACTTCTTCAGCTTCTCATACTCCTTGTTCCTGATGTTGATGTCACTTGGCACTGCTACATCTATCACCACCATTGTGTTCTGGTCCTTGTCTACTACCACGATGTCTGGTTGACTGGCTAGTACCTACCTAACTGCCTGGATCTGGAAGTCCTGTGTGTGTGTGTGTGTGCGCGTGTGTGCGCGTGCGTGTGTATTCTGGGCAACATGTATTGGAATCATTGCCCTGTTAGTATGAAATTTATTTTTGGTATCACCATGACAGAATTTCTCCACACAGAATTTATGAGTAAAACTTCATACAGGCTCTTACTTTCCCTTTTGTTTCCAGTTTAAGGAATATCATTTTGAAAATAACATCTATAGTGTAAAGTAACATCTATAGTGAAAACTGACCATTTCCAAATAAGACTTAAATTGCTTCATTTACAAAACTTTATAGGATGTCCAACGAACATCTTCCCTGTTGTGTTTTTCCCATACTTTTTTTTTTTTTTACCATAAGAAATCTGTTAAGAAAAACAATATGCATATCTTTTGATTTATAGTTACAGGAATCATCCTTCTGGTTTTCAAATGTATGTTATAACACATATTCAGTATAAATGTTTTCAAAAATTATATTTGGCTTATGAAAACATTACATATGCTTTCTATAATTTTAATATTTTGTTTTTTATGATTATATATTGACCATTCTGAATATTCTAGTCAGGCATATTTTATACATACCCACTTGGATGACACAAATCTATACTCCTAGATATATATTTTAGTCTTCGAAAATATATATCTTCACTTCCCTGCATGTATTCATCAGTTCCACTTCATAAGATCAGACTACCTTCATTGAGATGTAATATTTCCTTTCTTTGCTTTTAATTTAACAAATACACATGATTTTTCTTTCTCTCACTTCATTTCCTAATCTATTATTAGACAATTCATTCTTTTTCATTCTAAGCCTCAATTTTCCATATATCATTGTCATCACCAAATGAGCCCATCCAGAGGAATTGATCTTCTCTGTGATTGCCCATCACGGCTTTGGTCAATCAGAGCTTTCATGCATGCTGTGATCTCCAATCTAGGGACTTCCTTGCAAGCCAACATATCATCACCCACATTCCAACACCTAGGTACATGCAGTGTCCCTATGCACACTCAAGATAATTCCATAACATCCTTTATTTAAAGTCGAGTTATAGGATTTTTTTAATGTCTGGAATTAGTTTTACAGAATGCCTCTCAACCTTCCATCCTTTTCAAATGCTTTATTTGAAAATTATTGCAAAGGTTTGAAACAGATGTAGGCCTGTGAGGTAAATATATTCTGAAGAATCTTCTTTACTAACTTTTTGTTAGGCTTTGGTTTCACACCTAGACTTCTCTCTCCAGGTAGGGAAAAAGGAAAATCTTATTTCCAATAAGCAATTGAAAAAGAACTTTTGTCCCATCTCCAATGCTTTATAAAGGCCATCATTGCTGTAAAATGCTTGATAATGGGTTCTATTGCTGTTTTAAAATGTGATTCCAGTCTGAGAGGGAATTTTAAGGGGGAGTTGCTGTTGGGTATAGAAAAGATACTCCCATCCTCCTATAAACTGACCCCCACCCCTCCAACAAATAGAACTGCAGCTACGTATGGAGGAAAAATTGTTGCTAAGGAAGTAAATTCACTCTTCCCAAGACTGAATAGTATTGCTGTAGAACGCTGTAATTTCGCTTCAAAACTGACTTGGTGGTGGTGTCTGAATTTATTTTAGAAATCCCAACTGTTTCAAGAAAGCTAGAGTCAAGGCAAGAAAATTCATGATCACAGTCTGATAGGGCTCCATGGGACTACAAGAGTGGCCTGGTATTGTCAGCATTCAGTCTCACTTTACCCAAATAAAGAGCAAATATCAACCCAAAATAAATGTGGAATGAGAAATGAGAAAGATTGTTTCAAAATCTAAGTCAGATTTCAAGAATTATGCAAACCTATTTTGCCCTTCTTATTAAGAGAATATGTTTTAAATAAATGCTTCATGTATTTCTAAAGAAAAGGTATTGTTTTATAAAAAAATATAAGGTTCTATCATTGTTTTATTTTATATCTAGATTAAAATTAAGTTATTAAAAGTAAGCGGTATATTTATTTCTAACTCCAATTAAATCATTAGTTGTATTCATGGGGATGTCACACCAATTAATTTTGGTTTGAGTATATCTGATTGAACCTATAGTAATAAGGAATTTTCAGCTTGTTCTATATACTCATCCAATCTGTTGGGTCCAAAAGTTCTGAAACTATGTGCTACTTCAGAACTTCATATTTATGTATGTATATTAGCATCCCTTTTTTATTTCAAATCTCTGCCTATTTTCTGTCATGCCTGATATTTGACATTTCTTTGTAAATTTTAAATAAAAATGTATTTTGCACTCTGCAGTGTCTTTGTGCCTTCAGGCCTAAATTAATTCTTAGTATGTAAACATCCCACAGGTAATACATTTCAAAAATCAGCATAAAATCAGGACAGAGGAATAATTGCTCAGAAGTGAAAGTGTTTATTCTGCTTCTTACAGATCTGCAATTATGCTGGACCTGCAAAAGTAATAGTGCAGTTAGTCACAAATGGAAAACATGTCCACTTGCATGCTCACAGCTTGGTGGGAAAACACTGTGAGCAGGGAGTATGCACAGTAAATGCAGGACCAAAAGATATGGTAGTGGGGTAAGTACAATAGTGTCCTTGTAAAGTACAATTTCTACGTAATTATGATATGTAGATTCAGTTCTGTCTTAACGAAACAATGTGTTTTTATCCCCTCAACTTTCACTCTGGCTCACCTTCCTAATTTGTGACAAACCATCCTGTTTTTTAAAAGACTAGAAATTAGAATGTGGAGAGATGGGAAAGTTTGCAAGTGCATGGTGCCAAGTTATAATTTTTTTAATTTAAATCAGTCTATAATAGTAGAGGCAGAACAATGGATACCATATAATACAATCTTGTGGATGATTACCCTTCATTTAGGGTTGCTATAGATGTGATCTGTGATGAAGTAGATCTCCAAGGTCCACACACACACACACACACCTTTAAGTTGCAGTCAAATCCTAGTGGGAATGTGAAAATTTTATTGTTGTTATTGCTATTGTTATTTCTGGTGTGCTTTGTTCAGAGGGCTTTAATTATTTGTGAATTTGCTTGCATAATGAGTTGAAATTGATTATGCATGTCATGATAGAGAAACAAAATGTATAACAGTGTATGAAATTAGTGCTTCATATATTGTTATGGTTTCATTATAATTTTCCTATCTTGAAGACAGCTATAGAAAAGAACCACTGAAGTACTAAGGGAAATAAATGTTTTATTATTCTGAAATAACTCATTCCAAGTACACCATAGCAAGTAATATAATAATTCCTCTTTTTTAAATGTAACACTTTCAAAAGTATTTTTTAAATTATTATTTTTTTCACAATTTTCTTGTTATTTTTTCCCCGTGATTTTCAGTTGAAGAATTGAGATTGACAATTTACTACTTGTTCAAAGCTGTCTGATTAATAATTGAATAGAAAAAAATAGAATTCAAACATTCTTATGGAGACGTTACCCCTTTCCCCCAAATACACACTTCCTAAATTCAACTTCCAGGTCTTTCCATTTTGTTGGAAGCTTCTTCCCAAGCTTTTCTAACTATATAGGTGAGCTTCTTTCTTTTAAATCAAATTAATATCTCTTCACAAAAATAATATTAAAGTCAGTATGACATTGACATAAACATTGGATTCCTTGAACTGTTACATTCCAAGTGTGAAGTAACAAAGGGAATATTAAATCCTAGTTAATCTTCTGCTTTTTTTTTGAAAGAGCAAATAAAGTACCCATCTTATTGTTCCTAAGATTGGATTAGATTTCAGATAAGCGCTAGCTTGATGTTATACAGGAAGGTTTTAGGAACATATGTGTCAATCTTGGAAAAAATAGCCAGACAGGAGCACCTTTTCAGACTTGAAAGACTCATGCTTTTGATGTTAAGAATCAGGTTGCCAGCAAATTGAGTACAAGATTTCAGATCTGCTGTTTTGCAATTCTGCTTCTAATCTTGAAAGGTTTGTCATTTTCCTGCTAAGCATTTTTTTTCCACCAAACATGTTGAAATAATAGACTTGCCCTTAAGGAACCAAACTATGTTTTGGAAAGTAGGGACCTTTATGTCATTAATAATAATAAATATTTTAACTTGAATTCAGAGTATACCGCTTGTAGCTACTTGTCCAAACTTGCACCTTATTTGATGTTCTGTTACTATCAAAACAAAAGCCCTCAAAACCTTTCCTACATGTAAAAATGCTTTGAGTGAATTTATGCAATCAGGTTTTATTGGCCATAGATTTTTTCCCCTCTGAGTTGCTCAGAGCAATTTATTAGTTTTCCCCATCTCATTAGATGCTTGCAGCAGCCCAGTTAGAGAGGTTACTGGTTCAAATGCCACTTGAGTGGCATTTAAACCTGGTCTAATGCTTAAATATCTTAGCTTTACAATACAGAAAAAAGTTGAATAAACATGGGCAACAGAGTTTGCATTGATTGAGGCCAGAGAAAATATGGTAAGAGGGTAAGGATAAACAGTAATTCTTTGGACATGAGAACCTTTAGAGTATTTCTTCAGTGTTTTGTATTTCTGTATAGGTTTCCAAACCTGGGAATATTACATGTAACAAAGAAAAGAGTATTAGATACACTGGAAACCCGCATGATTGATGCATGTAAAAAAGGGTACAATCCAGGACTCCTGGTTCATCCTGATCTCAACTATATACAAGTAGAAGGCGGAGGGGAGCGGCAGCTAACAGGTAGGTGAGGCGTTCAGCTCTCTTGCGCGCATGAAATAAATGCTACTTTTAATTCCTGTTTATCATATTTACAGTAAGCAAGCAGTTCTCTCTTTTTTTTTATCATTATGTCTACTCAAGCTTTGTTAAGGTAAAGAATGATACTTTCTTCGGGATTGTTAATATAAAGTTCAGTGGGAGAGAAAATAACTAATTTATTTCATGGTGCATATTGATATTCCTTTGAGTCTTTTTCAATATTTGTTTCTGACATATGAATCTCTCGCATTCTTGAACATTATCCACTCCTCTTCTTTCTCTTTATCTCTTGGTTGAAGTAATGCTTAGCATTAAAGCATACATTATGTAATTCTTTTTAAAATTTCTTTGCATGTCAAATAGCTGTGTGGGTGATTTAGAATTGAGTGGAAGAGTTGTGGAATTCCCTGTATCTCTTGAAAAAACAGCAGTGGTGTGCGTGTGCATGCTTGCGAAGGTTTGAGCATATAAAAGAAACGGTTGAGAAGAATCATACAACTGAATATAGTGTCTCTTTACTATACTGCCAGCTGTGTGTCCTGCATCTTGGCTTCCATCCGAGCTCTTGCTTTCTGCACTGAAATGCCTAGATCTCCTCTTAATTCGATTTCAGAGCCGGCTTCCTCTTTCACCTACCACTACCACCATTAAGACACCATGCCACAATAATCCATGGTCTTTTCCACTGCTTGCAGAGCGAGAACGAGAAATCATTCATCAGGCAGCACTTCAGCAGACGAAAGAGATGGATCTCAGTGTCGTGAGGCTCATGTTCACTGCGTTCCTTCCTGATAGCACTGGCAGCTTTACAAGAAGACTTCAGCCTGTCTTGTCTGACCCTATATATGATAGCAGTGAGTGCCTTCTTGCTTCTCTTCCTATACTGTGGCCAAATGCCAGTCTGAATGGGATTTCGTTGCAAGCTTGAATATTCAGGCATAGGCAATTTCCCCTAGTTAACATTTTTAAAAGGGTATGAAAGACTTAGGTTTTTTAAAAAAAGACTAATATCTAAAAAAAACATTATTTCCTATAGCTGCAATATTCAGTGCAAATGACACTTTGCGTTCATAAACCATAAAGGTGAATTTAGGGCACACAATGCAGATTGCCTTGTTAGTCCCTGTGATGAATTAATGTATACTCAGAGGCATATATTTTCCTCTTCCTGTTAATACAATGGCTATAGTTCCTAAAAGTTGTGACTGAAGTTCTAAAAAACATCAGGCATGACCCCTAGGCCTACATAGTGACATATGATTTGAAACAAATGATACAAAATAGTTCTTAATTCAAAGGGAATTATATTTCACAATCCTCTCTACAATGCAGTTAAAATCTTTAAAGAAAGTAGCATATAGGGCATAACCCAAAAATATTCATATAGACTAAATCAATAGATATAGGCGGTTAAGAGCTGTTTGTAAACTGTTGTAAGTAGAGTTTTATTGGCTGTGAAACTGAAGGCTTTTATAGATATTATGAATGTATTATGTTATAACATATCATGGTGTCCATGGGAAGGAGTCAGAAAAGTCAAGCTGATGGTTGCAATTACACTATCACATACACATACATTTATTATTTTTTTTACAGTGTTGAATATTGTTAAAGGAAGCAGGGTTCTACTTTTTTTTAGTCTCTTGTGGATTATCCTGTAGCATATCGTGAATTTTAAGTAGAGTTGGATGCTGTTCTGGTAGTTGTACTTCAATTTTATACCAGACTTTCCAAAATCTGTATGAGCCAGTTTTATACATCTTCTAAATCTTCCAGCTACTTAATTCTAACATATCTACTCCTTTATATTGCTTTAGCTGGTGTGGATCTGGAACTCAGTTATATTTCTGAACTTATATATAACTTGTATAATTGGTGGATGTGCCAGTAACATTAATTATCAAATAAAATATAGTAATCATATATTGATTATCTTTTTATTCATACGATCTTTCCACAAAAACTTTCTACATAATAAGAGGATTACATTTTATATTGTGCTCTTCCTTTTCTCCCTCATATCAATAAAGTATAATCCTTGTGTTATAGTTTTTATTATAGCCATATTTTTATTTATTTGTCATTTATTCTTTATTTCAATTTATATGGCCGCTCATCTCAAAACCATGACTCTGGTTGGCTGGTTAACAACTGTTAAAAACACCATACACAGAAACATAATAATGAAAGCATAATTGGCAGCTGAAAGGATAAAACCACAAAAACATCAAATCAGCATTTTTTAATATTAAAAAGTGGCATGGAATTACCAGTAATTTTTTCCTATTTTATTCTCTATAGATTACAGTTGTATGTTTTGTAACACTGAATTTTGGAAATGACACAGCCAGGTTAGGAAAAAAATCTTGTTGCTGGAGTAGTTATAACTAATTCTTGGTTTATATAACACCTCCCCCCCTCCCCCGCAGAAGCTCCCAATGCATCCAATTTAAAAATTGTACGGATGGATCGGACTGCAGGCTGTGTGACAGGAGGAGAAGAGATTTATCTTCTTTGCGACAAAGTCCAAAAAGGTGAGAACTCAAAATTGCATCTATCATGTTTGAACATAGTTATATAATCATATTCTGGGAATCCAAAGGGTGGCTGATAAGGAAAAAGCTGGATGCTTTGAGGATGATTAACCGTTTCTGTCTAACCTATTTCACAGGATTGTTGTAAGGATAAAATGGCATGCAAAAATAATGCAAGTGAATTCTTTGAAGGAAGAATGGGATAAGGAGGCAGCTAAATACAGATAATTCATGTTTTCTTTTGGTGGAGAATAGGGAAGTTCATACTATGAAATTTATTAATAAAATATGCTTCTATATGCTGGAAATTTGCAATAATCCTCCCCCAAGAAGTGAGATTAGCTCCATCCCACTTAACATTCCTCAAGTCCCTCAAGACCTGGCTATGTGATCAGGCCTGGGGCTCCCAGGGGACCAGGGAGATTTTACGATGGCTCCCTTATTAATTTTATCCCCCCCTCTTTTGTGTGGTTTTACAGTTTTTATGTGTAACTGTTTTTATGTTGTTTTTTTTAATTGTTGTACGCCACCCAGAGTCACTTTGTGTGAGATGGGCAGCTATATAAATATGACAAATAAATAAATAAATATTCCATAACCAAAAATTGCTTTGATTTTGATTTGTAATACAAAGATTTGTGTATTACAGGTTTTAGTAAATGATAAAAATGATATATTAGTCTGACAAAGTCCTTCCCAATCCAAGATAGGGAAGTGAAATACATTTCTTAACTGATTTAAATAAGACTCTGAGTAAATGGAAACTCCAAAGTGGGGTTTTCCCTTAGCAAGTATGTTTTTTCCTTGTGACAGCGTTAATTGAAATCTCTCCGCCTAGCGAATTGAAATGTATAATAAGAAATTTAATACTTTTTTTCTCAATAAACACTTCTGTATTAAAGGGTTTGAGATAGCATCTGTTATCAAAAACTCTCCATAATTAGCAAGAGGAAAAAACACTCAAAAAGAGAAAGTATAAGCTTCTGCTTATACAGAACTGACAGCCCACAGGCATTCCCCAGATATACAGCGACTGCATCTCGCCTCTGTGTAACTTTTGCCATAGCCTACATTGAACCTGTTTTAGTTAACACTACAATCTGGCTTATTTTAATTAATTAAGAAAAAAAGGAAACATTAGCTACAGCATTGTTAGCACTACCCATGATTTTGTGGAGGTACAGCTTGGTGTTCCCCAGATTTCTTAAGAAAATATTTTACCTTCGTTGCATAAACGTTTGTGCGTGTTGTGTACAAGCTGTAGTTTCTGATTTTATTTATGTAGGTTCCAGCATTAGGATGCAAGATGAGAAGAGAGAGCAACAATGTAGGAATCATTATTAAGAATCTTCCTGCACGATTGGATTACGTTGACACTGGAGTTGTTTTTTAACTCCAAATTTGCATTTTTCCCAGTAAGACAATCCCTTTGAGAATAGTACAAAGCTCTTCACATCCCCAAATACTTTTCCTTATCTGGAGGGTAAAACTTCTGTTGGTGGGTCCAATTATTTCCTGCTTCTCCATTCCTTCAATTTTCTCCACATTTTTGCAGATCCTCTACTCAATTTCTGTTCTTCGCAGTTATTCGGTATTTGTGTGTGCGTGTGTGTATGTGCGGCGCGTGCATGCGCACACGCCTTTGAGTCAGTGTTGACTCCTGGCGGCTGCCTGGACAAGTCCCTAAAGTTTTCTTGGCAAGATTTCAGAAGTGGTTTGCCCTTGCCTGCTTCCTAGAGCTGAGAGGGAGTGACTGGCCCAAGGTCACCCAGTTGTTTCTGTGCCTAAGGCAGGACTAGAACTTACAGTCTCACAGTTTCTAGCCTGCTGCCTTAACCACTACACCAAACTGGCTCCCGTTCCTTCAGTAGGCTGGACAGGAATACAATCTTACTTTTTGACAATTTTATTCTACCCGCCCCCCCCCAATCTCTACTCCTTTTAAAATTCACCTGTAAAACACAGAGCCAGATTCCAGTAACCCACCAAAGCACATCTTGACTCCTCAGCCATGTTGCTTTGACTATAAACAGCTTGTGTTGTTATACCAGATGAACAGCTTGTGGATAGGGGAGAAGAAAACCATTCACTTTTACTTTGTTTTCTCAACTTTGTTTGCAAACCATTAGCTGTGCAGTCACACATTCTCCTCTAGCTCTTAACATGGTAAGGCTTTGTTGAAGGAAGGCAAGGGGTTCTGTGGACTGACTAGTGCTGGCCCAGTCAGAATCTAAGGTTTGCTGGCATCTGCTTTCTGTCTTGGAAGAAGAAAATGAGACGGGGGGGGCAGAGGGCGGGGAAATGATGGAACAGACAGATCATTCCCAAAGTAGTTGCTTTTTAATTTGCCTCAGATTTATTTGCCTCTGGTTTCGATACAACTTGGAAATATTTCTATGGAAAGGCCTTCTTTTGCATAGCTATTCACCACACATCACTTGGCTATCAGCAGGGATGGGAAAAAAACACAAAGTTTCAAGAAATGTCTGGAAGAATGTTGTCACAGCTTTAAAAATCAATTGGATCTAGACAGTGAGTGTAAAATTGAAACAATATAGTCTTTACAACCTAACCCAGCCCACTTTACCTCATCCTGGAGCTGAGATATCCGCTATTGCATTAAAGCAGAGGGTAAACATGAATCATCACCTATTATTAATGTTTTCTCCCTACAGATGATATTCAGATCCGTTTTTATGAAGAAGATGAAAACGGTGGTGTCTGGGAAGGTTTCGGAGACTTTTCACCTACTGATGTGCACAGACAGGTAAGTTCTTTTGGCAAGGAATTATAGTAATAATGTACACAACCAGTTTTAATTTGAGGTATTTCATTTCTAATAGTTCTCAGGGTATGATAAACTGATCAGAGTTCAGTGTGGGTCTTCCGGGCTGTGTGGCCGTGTTCTTGAAGTTTTGTTTCCTAACGTTTCGCCAGCACGT